CTTGCCAACTGTCATCCCGCAGATTGCTCCACCCGGCGCTGTTACAATACCACGTGAACTCACGTTTCACCCCACCCCCCAATGAATAAAAGGAGGGGAAGGAGACGCAGTAGGATTTCCAAATCTATATTTTACCTGAAGAAGGAAACAAAACCAAGGCTTGAGGCTCGCTCTGCCAATGTAATGAAGTAGGCTACCTGCCGAAACGTCCTGCTTTAGAAGTACTGAGGCCCAAGATCGATAATGTTGTGGTATGTACACCCCTTGATGAGGATTGAATCTGTAAACAACGCCCACTACTACGTAACAGATTTCTAACAAGCAACAATGGACTATGCGGTCCCTGAGACAGCTGCGTGACGCAACAATAGAACTGTTGGATGCGGTGCTTTCTATGCGATCCGTGTCGAAGTGTTATAAGCAGGACAAGTCTTAGAGTTTAGTCAGCGGTCAAGTATATGACCGTTCGAGTGATTAGAACGCCGTTGTAGCGGTAGCTACTAGAAATAGGGCATAATCTGCTGTACTGAGCCTGGGCTGAGAGACGCCCTGTATATATTGCATATACATTTATTAACATGTTCAACATGTAAAATATAAATATCCTTTACATATGACAAATGAGTTACTACTGCAGACAGTGACTCTGACAAATGACAGAACCGTCCTCTCGTCAGAGAGGGTGCCCCATAATAACAAGACCGTAACTGCCAAACAGTAATAAATACACGGTCATGAGCCCCAGACTGGGCTCGACACCAAGACTGACTGAACGTCAATCGCAATGTGACTTTCACTTTGACTTGAGTTTAGTCAGTTGTGAGACAGGCTTGTTTCATGACACACCGGACAGTAAGGGCGTGAACACGGAAGCTGAGGAAACTAAGGCTTTGAAGCCGTTACCAGACAACGACTAGTGAAGAGACAGCAGACAGAGAAGACTTAGTGCGTGCTCTAGTGAACTGTAGAGTAAGTTAGCGAGTTACATTATGTAAGAGTTAAATAAATCCGATTACCAATCCAAACCCCGTCTACAGCCACTAATACACGTGACAATACTGAAAACAGAGACGACAACTGTTTCCAAACACCATCATAACAGAAACCTTTCACTCTTACCGAAGTACTCGTCTCGCGTGCCCTTTATGCTCACGGATCAATACGGAGATGCTCTGACGGGCAGGGGCAGATCTGCCCACGGATCTGCGGACGAAGATGCCAGCCACCAGCGCGACAACTGCACTGCAAGAGTGCATGTCATCTCTGCGTGTAGGCTGCTGGCTGCTGCAACACTCCGGTTGATCTGTCAGCTACTATTCTGGAGGACGTGAATTCCTATCTCAGCTGAGGCACCTGCTTGCTTCCTGTTTCACGCTGGTTCCTTGCTTGGCTTATTCTTTGACCCTGAAGATGGAGGTGACATGTTAACCCGAAATGTCGGTTGAATTTCAAGGGACTATACGGCGTTATATCACAGAACCACCGCTGTGAGAACCTCAACCACGACAGTATTGACTCAGGTATTTCGTGGATTTCTTCAGAATTTTGTCCACGTCGTCATACTTACCATGGGGCGCTATACATTATCTATAAAGGTAGCAACCTTAAATGACACCCCCCCCCACACACACAAAAAAACTACCTTCATTGCAAATCCACAGACCTCACTCGATCTTTCTTTTGGTAATTCTACAAAAATTCCAAACAGACAGAAACTGAGCGGATTTCATGATTCTGGAGCAGCAATTTCCTATCAGGAATTTTTATAACATTTTTTCAAGGTCACAATGAAAGCAGCTACATGAATCACAGGTCGACGAGCACAGTCCTGTTACAAACGCGCAGGCAACGAACGATAATCTCAGGAATAATTTTTTTTTAATTTGCCTAATCCTCCCAGCCGCACTACGGCCCTGGGGCGACTCAGCCTCTAAGAGAAATCAGTACCAAGAATCTTCCTGGGAGTAAAGAGCCGCTATGTCAAGCCTATGACGTACTCAAACTTGGGAGGGGGGGGGGATGAGGGATATACTTACTGGTGCTGTGCGCTCACAAAGCTATGCAGTGACACGTCACAATCAATACCGCGTCCCCACTGCATGAGATACCTTGCAGCCACCAAAGTTACTCTAATAACCGCGCACTGGCACAAACAATTTCTCCTATTCTTGCTATAGAGGGCTGTGTTACAAGCGCGGTACAGTAACACACGCGGCGAGGGGAACACTGAGATTTATAGCTGCAAATATTGCTCCCCTAACGCCCCCCTCCCACATTCCACAGCCTGAGGCCCGGAAGCCAAGTTCAAGATTGGTAAAAGTAACGCTATCCCTGTAACAGGCCGTAAAGGCCCATAGAGTTGTGAAACGTCGAGGCTCCCACATTTTCTAGACACTCAGTTCACAGATGGCGGTGAGGCTAGGTGAAGCTATCCTTGTAATAGGCTGTGGAGACCCATAGGGTTGTGAGACGTCGAGGCTCCCACATTTTCTGGACAATCGGCTCATAGATGGCGTTGAGGCTGTCAGCTTTACGCGCCAGTCGGCCGCCCTTTACCCCCAGGAAGATTCCTGGTACTCATTTCTGTTAGCGGCAGCGCATACCCCAGGGCCACAGTGAGGCTAGGAGGATTAGGTAAAGTGGAAAGTCCAATGGCCTCATCGGAACCTGCGACCTTCCGACTTATAGTGCCTCGGCCAACAGGATGCCCTAATAATAATAATAATAATAGTAATAATCTTTCAAAGACTCAATTTGCTGTAAAATTCCATAACTCAGAATTTTGGTGTAATTTTCTTGGGGAAAAAAGAATACTGCCACTATACAGAGTGATTCGGGACGATTCCGCCAAAATTCTTGGCTACGCTACTTAAGTAACTGCGCATAAGAGAAAAATCGCCTGCAACTTGAACGCACATTTGTCAATGGCGTAAAGTTGTTGGCAACAACGCGTACACCTTCGTCTTACTACCGGACTGTCATAACTCCTTAAAATTAGGCCAACATTAATAGCGCTTTTCTTTCACTCTAAATCGCGACATCTGTCAGACTCCTCTTCTGGAATCACCCTGTATAGTCCTATATGCTAATCTGAGATAACTGAAACAGTCTGACAAAATGACTATACTTTTCAACATTTCGGGGCACCTCCCACGAAACTGCTTCATAAGAACCAGGAAATTGTTTGGACTATATGGAAAAATATTCCCTAATGGCTAATTTCCACTTACGCTCGTGCACAGAGAGGGGGTGTATTTTGTAACCAATCACTCTGCAACCCTGAAGAAAGGCTGGCTCCCTCCTACGTGAGGGTGATGCCAAGGAACTCGATAAATATATGAAATTACATCTCCATATCCAATTCCATCAGAGATCCAGTAGCAACCCTGAAGAAAGGCTGGCTCCCTCCTACGTGAGGGTGATGCCAAGGAACTCGATAAATATATGAAATTACATCTCCATATCCAATTCCATCAGAGATCCAGTAGCAACCCTGAAGAAAGGCTGGCTCCCTCCTACGTGAGGGTGATGCCAAGGAACTCGATAAATATATGAAATTACATCTCCATATCCAATTCCATCAGAGATCCAGTAGCAATTTCCCCGACTATAGCATACATCTTTCAACAACTTGTCATTTGTGAAGTCAAAAAAAATCATTCGATGACTTCACATAAGGTAAACGTACCCAACTTCGTAATATGCCTTATTTCCTTGTAAGATGCACTATTTACAAGAAAATTATGTGTTGGATTTGAGGTTATCATAGCGGTGACTATGAAGAAACCCTCCGACGTTTCAGAGGAACATATCGCATCCATTTCTACCTGCGGCTTATTCTACTTGTCGCCTGTTTGGCTTCCTCTTCGACCATCAAAATGGGGTTCTAAGTTCCACCGACACTTCGGTAGACGTCTACCAAACTACACGGCGTTACAACCCAGATGATCGATCTCTTTATACTTAGCCACTTCTCCACTGAACCATCTATGGAAAACTGTTAAAACTGCGTAAAACCTAGTATCGTGGCAATTTTAGCATATCTTACGACGGTATCAGGTGTCACAAAACATGGCCATGAGTCCCGCGGGACTAGGAACTAAGAATGACTGTGCTGGCGAGTCCAGCAGAAGTTTAACCTGCCAAACTCGACAGGTTTCCCTGGCTCTTTACGAGAAGTAAGCTGTAATTTTACGTCCATCTTCATCCCCATGAGATTTTTTTTTTAATTTAAAAGATATTTTGCCAGGCACTGTCAGAATTCAGCGAAGCCCGTCCTGGAGTGCGTAGTATATTCACGTCAAAAAGGCAGCAACTTCAAATCAGAGTAATGATTGCTGTATTCTTGAATTTAACACCAGGTACGTCCGTACACACTGACAATGTTTTGCAAAGACCCGCTGCCTCCATCTTCATGGCAGAAGAAATTAATCACATTCACCGCCATGAGAACATCAAATCTCAAAGTAATCCTCAACAGGGATATTTCTTTCGCTGATTCTACAGCCGCCTTGGGCCCTGGCCTCTGATTTTCAGTTTCACGATCATTTTACAGACGGTAGGGCTCCTTCGACAAGTGATCAGCTCGTCGCAAGGCCTCTACCTAAACACAGGACAACACAAACACAGAACAAACACATTGAACCCATGATCCCGGCTTCCAAGCGAGCGAAGACAGTACATGCCTTAGACCGCTTGGCTACCGAGGCCGGCGAACACGGATATTACTCTACGTAATGGTAGGATGGTTCATGGTGAATTGGGAAGTATCTGGAAGGAAAAGGTAGTGACTTAATAGACGTATCCTCGAGTTTTCCTGGAGAGACTGAGAAAACCATGAAGAAACTCAACGAGGATATCTGGAATTCCTTCCGAGATACGAACCAACCACATTCCGAACATAAGCCCGGGGGGGGGGCGTTACCACTAAACCAAACTTCTTCATCAACAGTAATCAAGTTAATGACTCAACGACTGAAGCACGATAACGATGGATTTACCTTCGACTGTTCATCCTGCCAAGCGTTGATCACGGCCTCACGCTGCAAGTGATTCCTGAGAACACCATGACTTCGCCTGTCTCCCTCTGCTCTGTGGAGCCGAACTGGTGCTTGAGGTTTCTGAATCACCAGCTGATGATGGGCATCGGACCTTATAGCAACAATATCATCATTTCCGTCCGTAGCAACGAACTGTGAACCAACCGCAGGCTCCAGTAAACACGACAACTCCACTTTCCTCGGTTCATTCACCTCCGTCAAGAATTCCTTGACTATTTTTTCTTCCTTTTTTTCTTCTTCACCCAAACCGAACACAAATTTCAACTCATTTCGTTTCGTCTTCGACGTCTTCCTCTGATGGCGCCCATCGTCGTTAATCAGCAATGTCTGCCCGTCGCCCAGAGACGTCGGTCTTGTTATTCGTGTAGACGCACGAGTGGCTGTCCTTGTAGACGGAATCTGCTGGACGGTGGCAGCCATCTCAGCGGTTTTTGCTCAAAGTACGTCCCATCATGATGTCATACACGGCTCACGTCATCCTCGAGTCAAATGGCTTTTATTAAACCGCTTGGAAGCAGACTGGGGTCGCTGTTTACTAAACACGAGGTCAGAAACGCGCGAACTTGTCTGTTCTCATGATATTCTTCTTGAGAACCCACCAAGGCGGCTCTTAAACTCTTACTTTATCCTTTCTCGAAAACATCTCATACGTAGCCTTATTTCAAACCGTTTTAGACAAAATAGTGGTTACACTTCTCAATAAACCGTTTATAAGTGTCATTTTAAGATGACTCTGCATTGTGCACTGTTTTAACAAAAATTTATTCCATCTATTTGTTTTCAAGGCGGTTTTGTAATATCACGTGATCAAAAACATAATTAATTACAACATTATTCGCGTGCGCTCAAAGAAACTTTGCTGCTTGAAAAAAAGTCACTCTCATCATAAAACTTCGTCTGCGCACAAGATATATTCCGAATTCTTCCAGAAAATAACATGTTACTGTCACATTTGTAAGCAAATTTAAATGCCAATAAAGTCCCTCATACTTGTAACTGTATCACCAATTAACACAACTGCACAAACATACTACAGAGTGTTCATATTTTAAACTCAAGGCTACACTAAAGAGTGTTCCCTTTTTAAAAATCACGACTATACTACAGGGTGTTCACATTTTAAATTCCACATATACTTAAAAAATACGTTCCGACAGTTTTCTTAGCTTTCATTTATACCTACTGTAACGTAAAATGCAGTTCTCCGCTCCTGGAGCTTCATACTTCATTTCCTCTGTTTTAAACACACATCACTACATTTTCTAAGTACTTTCATTTCAGCACATCCACATTTCTAAAATAATAATAAAAACATCAGTACAAATTAAAATGACTTTCCAAGTTTCTGTGAGCCGGGATAGCGTAGTCGGTATAGCGACTGGCTACGGACTGAACGACCAAGGGGTCAGAGTTCGAGTCACGGTTGGGTCAAGAATTTTCACTTCTCCATGTCGTGGAGACCGGCACTGGGGTCCATCCAACCTCCTATCCAATGGGTACCGTGGATCTATACATCCACTCCCCCATACGCCTTCATGCTGTAGTGCTTAATTAGTTACAACTTTACCTTAATTCATTTAACGATGCAGTAACTGCACGGCACAGAATGACTGGATGAGAGCAAGTAAGGTATTGGAGAGGCAAAGGTCGAGGCCTAATTTTAAGGTACTATCCCAGCATTCGCCTTGAGGGACTGAGAAAGCCACAAAAAAACACTTTGAGGCCAGTCTGCATTATATGCGACCCGTAACATTCCGAATAGGAGTGAAAAGCGTTACCGGTTGAGCCAACTGCCTAATGCAAGAGTTCGCCCCTCCCCACTACCCTCAGCAGTCAAGTCCTAAGAAAGCCACTTCATTTGTGGCTGGACGTCTTCAGTTACGTCTGCACTTCATCCTAAGGCGTAAGTACGTATTATACATAGCGAGTTGTTATAGCGTAGTTGGTTCTGACACTATGTTGCAAGCCGCCAGGTCGCGGTTTCGATTCCCGATGAGGTTATTGGATTTCTTCAATTGACCTAATCTTTCCAGCCGCACTATGGCCCTGGAGTCGACTCAGCCTTTAACAGAAATGAGTACCAGGAAACTTCCTGGGGGTAAAGGGCGGCCAGCGCGTAAGGCTGACAACCTCACCGCCATCTGTGAGCCGATTGTCTAGAAAATGTGGGAGCCTCGACGTCTCACAACCCTATGGGCCTCCACGGTCTGTTACAGGGATAGCTTTACTTAACCTCACCGCCATCTGTGAGCCGATTGTCTAGAAAATGTGGGAGCCTCGATGTCTCACAACCCTATGGGCCTCCATGGCCTGTTACGGGGACAGCTTTACTTAACCTCACCGTCATCTGCGAGCCGATTGTCTAGAAAATGTAGGAGCCTCGACGTCTCACATTCCTATGGGCCTCCACGGCCTGTTACAGGAAGAGCTTCACCTTTTTATGTTAACACTGGTTTGGAGCAGCGGTGATAAATCCACTTTCATGGAATTTAGATTGCATTACTTGTATTTCTGGGATTGTAGATCAATTTCGGACTACCTCAACAATGGAGCCGTAATGCATGGACGCCCGCGGGGGGGGGAGGAGGTAAGCCAAACTTTTTTTTAATTTAAAATGGATTGCTGACAAATCAAAATCAAACGAAATATACCGAATACCAAAATTAAAATCAATTCTAAACAAACGTTAATGTTCCACCCAGAATGCTTTTGGGTGATACGCGAAAACATTCCAAAACGGCTTCGAAGAAAAGTCTGTAAGCAAACATTTCTGGCTGTCCTCTTCGGGGAAAAAAAAAGTACCCTGACGACATCTATACCAAAGTAGCTCAGTCGGTACAGATTACATAACAGTATCGACAATCAAGGACTTGAGGTTGGATTCGAGGCCGGGCTCTAGGGCCCACCCAATCTCCTACCCATTGGGAACCGCGGGCTCATTCCTGCTCGTAAAGCGGCTGAAGCGTGAAACTGACCACTCACCTCAATCCACTGTTGAGGTTAGGAATACGTGGAGTTACATCTCAATTCTTCCGCATGCCTCAAAACACAGACAGCTTACCTTCTGTTTTGTTAATGACCGTGTGAATGGGTTTAGAAATGAAACTGCGTGCCACATTCCAGCCTATGATCCAGTACGGCCCAAAACAGAAGAACTCTGAAGGTAGCGCCCTGGCTTAACTACAACCCTCGTCGTGGCTATCCCTGTAACAGCCTGTGGTGCTCCATTGGGTTGTGACATGTAGAGGCTCCCACGTTTTCTAGACAATCGGCTCATGCAGATGGGGGTGAGATAAGTAAAGCTGTCCCTGTAACAGGCTGTGGTGCTCCATTGGGTTGTGACATGTAGAGGCTCCCACCTTTTCTAGACAATCGGCTCACACAGATGGCGGTGAGATTAAGTAAAGCTGTCCCTGTAACAGGCCGTGGAGGCCCATAGGATTGTAACATGCAGAGGCTCCCAGATTTTCTAGACAACTGGCTCACGCAGATGGCGGTGAGATTAAGTAAAGCTGTCCCTGTAACAGGCCGTGGAGGCCCATAGGATTGTAACATGCAGAGGCTCCCAGATTTTCTAGACAATCGGCTCACAGAGGGCGATGAGATTAAATAAAGCTATCCCTGTAACAGGCCGTGGAAGTCCATACGGTTGTGAGACGTCGAGGCTCCCACATTTTCTAGACAGTCGGCTCACAGATGGCGGTGAGGCTGTCAGCTTTAAGAGCCGGCAGACCGCTCTTTACCCCCACGAAGATTCCTGGTACCCATTTCTGTTAGAGGCTGAGTCGACCCCAGAGCCATAGTGCGACTGGAAGGATTGAGTAAATTGAAAAAAAAAATCCAATGACCTCATCGGGATTCGATCCCGCGACCTTCCGGCCTGTCGCCGCTACCGCGTGCCTGACTAATTTAACGTATTATCCATGAATTTGCCTCAAGTGAATCACAAACGCCACGAGGACCTCCACTGCTGTACAGTATTAACTTTGAGAACCTACACCGTGTAGTCTATTACAAGTCTACAGACATTTCGGATGAATCTACTACCTCCATCTTCAGGTTTGAAATGTATGCCAAATATTCTGGTTCATACTGGCTTGTCTGCTTCCTTCGCTTACTCTTCTATCCCGAAGATTGTGGCAGTATGTCACGCCGAAACGTCGGTAAATTTCTGCAAGATTATATTGCGTAACATCCCAATATTATAGTGTGTCCGTGGCTTTTCTCAGTCTCTCCAGGCAAATACATGGATATTAATTTAAATTAGGTGTGAATAACTTCCTTCCATATCCCTTTCAATTCTTAACTACTCACTTCCATCTAATGGTGACGTTAAGACTGCGTGAAGCTATACCTCCACTGTTCCACATGCTTAACAGGCATAGTGCTTAATCACGTATTGCTCCGAAACGTCGATACACTTCTACCAGACTACATGACGTAACATCCCAAAAGACAGTAATAATCAATACTGGGGTGTCGTTATTTTCCTCATTCCTCCAGGCAAATGCCTAAAAAAATTAGGACATGACAGCCTCCTTCCACATCCTTTCCAATTCATTATTCACTACCATCCAATCATCCAGTGTTACATGAGCTATCTTACTGACAGCACCTTTAAACTACAAATACATAAATACTGAGCGGTCTCGATAAAGAAAGTGTCGTTAAATAACCTACGATAGACAGACAGACAGACAGATATGAAAATGACAGCTGTTATCGCCCGTTCATAAACTTCTAGCAAGTTAAGCTTAAAGCATAACAAGCACAAGGAACACGATCACACACGTCAAATTTATGAACAGTCTTTCAACACAATCGCGCATTTTTACCAATTTTCGTCCACTTTAACACGCCTATGTTACGTTTTGTGAATAATCAGCACCATACATGTTCAGCTGCACGGTACATACGTCACAAAACCCTTACTGCACCCCCGAATCAATACATCACGGGCAGATGAACGGCAGATGAGGGGCAGAGATGCATGCGCAACCACCCCTCATGTTCCAACCCTTACACGATACACACACATCAAGAGTAGAAGAAACGCTTATGATATGCCGGAGCGTGCACTTATGTTCAACATAACTACATTAGTGTTGCCCACGGAGATCCTGCGAGGATGCTTAGGGGTCACAAGACAATTCTCCTACCACCCGGACCGACGAGGTCCTGACTACACGGCAGTGCAGTTGTGTGAGAGAGACAGAATGAGATTTGAAGCGGAGGGGTGAAAACAGGGAAAAACGACACCAACGCCACAGTCGGAGCAAAACCATGCGGCAGTATTCAGAACGAAACCGCTCGTTTCTCTTGTTAAAATTCTTTTTATACAGCCCGCAGAAACCTCGTTCGAAAACTTAACTTCATGAAACTGAGTCCTTCTTGAGAAGCCGCCAGTCGCTCAGCTATTCAAGAACTTTCCAACACTTTTTTTATTGCTAGTGGGGTGGGACTAAGTCCCTTGTACTGCAGCCACTTCTGGCCTATTGTACCAGCCCCAGGTGATAGGTGAGGGTGATTGTGGAGCAGTTCGTGGAATGAAGATTGGCAGGGGAAGCCTACCCCAGCGCCACTTTGTCCACCACAAATCCCACTTCACCAAACCCGGGATCGAACCCGGGTCGCCGCGGTGCGAAGCCAGCGACTAACCGCTTGAGCTATGGCGCGGCCTTCCCAACACTTTATGGAATTAGGTTAGATTTGCTTAGAATACATCGATTAGATTTTATTATGATAGGCTACATTAGACTGGGTTATATTAAATCACTTCATACTGGATCTTGTTAGGTTAGTTATTAGACAAGATTACGTTCAGTTACATTAGATTACATCATATTACGTTTGGCTATGTTAGGTTAGGTTAGCTCAGATTACATTAACTTCATGGAGCTGAACTCTCCTTGAGAAGCCGCAAGTCGCACAAATACTCAGGAATTTCCCAGCATTTTACGGAACACGAAGGTTCATTACCGTGTTCACAAGAGCCTCCCACTGGTCCCCATCCTGAGCCATACGAACAGTCAATACTATCCCATTCTAAGATCCTATTTAATACACGCAGTCACAGGAGCAAGACACAACATAAAGCACAATACACACACGATAATAGAAAGAATGCTCCGACAGAAGAGGTTAGAGGCGACTCGAGAAGTGAGATACGACGTAGGAAAAATCCTGAACAATTTTAATATTTTTAATATTTAATATTTATCAGTATATAATATATATTTTAATAATTTTAATATGAAGACAAGGCATGCAGTGAACTAGTTTAACGTTAATCGAATAAGCACCTGAAGATGGCACTTTTGTGCCGCAACATGTAGTGCGAGAGAAAGGAGTGAGGTAGATAAGTGTATGCACTAAAAGACGGTGAAATAAATCATGGACTAATATTACTGTCCCACCTATGTCTAGTTCTTCCCAGTTGTCTCTTTCCTTCTGGCTTTCGCACCCAAATCCTATATTCAGTCCTCTTCTCTTCGTGCGTGCTACATGCGATGCACATAATACCTTGACTTGGTAATTCTAATTATACTTGGCGAAAAGTACAAGTTATGAAGCACCTCATTATGCAGAGAAACTTATGAGCATGAAACAGGTTAGCTCAGTCGGTATAGCGACGGGTTCGGGCTGGACGGCCGGGGTTCGAGCCCGGTCAGAGGCAAGGCTTTTCTGTACTCCATAACATCCGAATCGGCTCTACGTTTCACCTAGCCTCCTACGCGAATGGTGGAGCTACACTTCCACTCTCCCATACGCCTTCATGGCATAGTGCTTAATTAAATAAGCACGGGAACAACTTTACCTTCTCACCTATACCCCTGAAGAGCGCTCGTCAAGCGAAGTTTCGTAATAGGAAACCCTATATGCCATAGACACAATGATGTAACTCAAAACAAACTCCGCGGCCTGTAGTCCGCAAGCGTACTATACCGACCGAGGGGCCGCCGCTTGTCAGCGAAGTTAGTGCCAACTTCTTTGTGGATAGAGTGTGTCGCCTGGTCAGCGCAACGGATCCCCACGGCCGTTAATCTCGGTTTTCTAGACCGGAGCCGCTACTTTTCCATTCAAGTATCTCCTCAATTATCCTCACGAAGCTGAGCTGAACCCGTTCTAGACCCACGACTTCTCAGAAAATCTGGTAGCACCTGGAATCGAACCCGGGGCCTCTGGATCTGTAACCAGGAACTCTGATCACTAGACTACAGAGGCGGTCGTAACTGCGGACTAAGTTCATAAAAATATAAGCAGTCAATTTATTGCCTAGAATGAAACACATGAGCATCGGAAACGTATCAGATTATGCTATGAACACTGGATACCGGATAAAAAGACTTTTAATAGAACTGTCCCTCGTATCAACCGTGATCAACAGGGTAAAAAGTAAAGCTATGCCTGTACCAGGGCGTGAAGGCCCATAGGGTTGTGATACGTTGAGGCTCCCACATTATCTAGACAATCGGCTCAAAGATGACGGTAAGGGTACGAACCTGATAAAACAGCAAAATACTATAAAATATTCACACCAGTTCAGAGCGTAAGGTAAACTGACTGGGCGACGTTGCGTTCGCCTCCCCTTTCGTACGCACGTGATAGTTTTTGTTCGGAAAGGATTTCTGATGAGCAAGTTCGAGTTCGGATAACAAGCCAGGACAAGGGATAAGTTCGCCATGAGCGAAATTTACTATTGAGAATCTTCATAAAGAGAGGACTGTGTGCATATGAATCCTGTCTAGCTGGCGAGGACCACCAGCAAATTCGTGCTCCCTTGAGAGTAGACACAGAACGTCCAACCTCTCCTCTCGTCGAAGAGGAGGCCCCATTTCAAAACATAAATGGTCTTGAAAAGAAAAGAATATGGTTATTGGTCCTGACGGGGCCCGAAACAAATAATCACTTTGCTGGCGAAGACCAGCACCAAATTCCTGTTCTGCTCTACAGATGCAGATCCACATTTACACGAAGATACCAAAATTACAGCCTCTTAAATTGTTGTCGTAAAAGTAAAAAAAAAAGTAAAGCTATCCTTGTACCAGGCCGTGAAGGCCCATAGGGTTGTGAGACGTTGAGGGTCCCACATTATCTAGACAATCAGCTCAAAGATAGCGGTAAGGTTGTCAGCCCTACGCGCCGGCCGCCCTTTACACCCAAGAATATTCCAAGAATATTGCTGGTACTCATTTCTGTTAGAGTCTGAGTCGACCCCCAGGGCCATTGTGTAGCTGGAAGGATTAGGAGAACTGAAAAAATACAATGACCTCATCGGGACTTGAACCGACGACCTTCAGGCTTGTAGTATAGTGCCTCAACCAACTACGCTTGGAGTATAACAATTAATAGCATTTTCTATACGGTCGCGCGCCGAGATGTTATAACCGAGAAAAGTTTAGAAGTTAGTTGTAAGGGAGTCTGTGAAGGGAATACTTAGTCGGTGCAGCTGAAGAATATCCATTGTTAAAATCCGTTACCGGGAAACGACTAGTGGAAGCAGACCGGAATTGACTTAGCGTGCTGTAGTGATTTGTAGAGCGTGGAAATTAGCGACAATATTATAGTTACTTGTAGTTATTACATGTAAATGGTCAATAAATCCAATCTCAAATCCAAAACGCCGTCGAGAATCACTGTAACACGTGACAATACTAAAGTATTCTATTTGTCGTATCAAATGCTCAAATTATAGTGGAGAAAGTGTAGGATTAGTTCTTCCCGGAGCTTAAGCAGTTCTGGGGCTTCAGTGATATCCACGCAGCCACGTAAGACACAAGCCATGCATTATGATGCTCACGTAGCTGGGGACAGGCGCGGGCCAGCTGATCAATACATCTGGCGTCCTTCCACACAGCAGAAGCCGTGAGCCACTACACTGGCGCCAAACGTGACAATGGCCGAGTTTCCAGGCTTTAGCGAAGCGTTCTCACTATATCACAATTCAGTATTACGGCAAGGATGGTACGTCATCGTAATTCATGGATACAGACATTTCTGCCATCATCATAAAGTTACTAACATTCTATTTGCAACACTTCCGGTACGTGTACGCCGGTGGGAAATTCAATACGCAGGATTTTCTCTCAGGTGAAAGGTAAAGCTGTGTCCCTGTGCTTCATTAATTAAACACCACGCCATTAAGACGCATGGAGGAGTGGAAGTGTAGCTCCTTCATTCCTGACCTTGGCACTAGAGGCACTTGTCAGTTTCACGCAACAGCCGTCTTACCTCCGGAGAAAGAGCGCTCGGTACCCATTGGCTAGGAGGCTGGGCGGGCCACCAGAGCCGGTCTGGACGCTGTTGAGAAGAGAAAAATCTCTTACCCCTGCCAGGAATCGAACTCAGCCCGTCCAGCCCGTAGCCAGTCGCTTCCTTCCGTGAGGTATCCTATATGCAGTATGGCATACCTTGACTAGTACGCTATATAAATTCTACACTTAGTGTTACTGGAAGATTACAATATTATATTTCAGCATCCTGTTACACTCACAATATATATGGACAAATACCGTCTTAAGTGCAACAATTTTATTGTAGTTTTTACTTCTTTTTCCTCTTCCACGCTACATGTTTCGGCCCTAAATGGCCATCATCAGGTGTGTATCACTCACGCAACTGTTACACTGCTTGTTAAAAATTTAAAAACACCAGTCTTTCCAATGGTATAAAATCTTTGTCAATCTACACGCGTCAATTTGATCTTTAAATTAGCACTTTTTAAACCCCAATTCAAATACCCAATTCAAATACCCAATAACAGAAAAAGGAAAACAAATAGAGAAGAACACTATTAAAAACATACTACATAACAACGGATACGACACTAACATAATCNGCTAGATATAAAGAACATCTACATGATATTAGAAATAATAATTGCAATTCCGGGTACTCAAATCACATACTAAATACGGGACATGCATACGGAACAATAACAGACGTAATGGAAGTTGTAACAACGGG